TTAAATTAAAATAATTTTAAATTAAATATTAATAAATTATTAAGTTATAAATTTGATATTATGAATAATGAAAATGTCTAAAAATGTTCAAAAAAATGGAATATGTTCAAAAAAATATAATTATGTCTAGAAAATATCTGGAAAACAGATTTATGTCTAAAAATTATCTGAAAAATGTTTAGAAAATGTCCAATTTTGCATTTTAAAGAAATTGAACATTGAAATTCTGAATAATAACATTTTTGAACAAAATGAATGTCTGGAAACTACTAAGATTTGAAACATATTTTGGACAATGAAAATGTTCAGAATTTGTACATTATTATTTCAATATATTTACCTGTTAAATTCTGGACATTCTTTTTTTATAAAGTGATCCCAGCCAACTTTTGTTAGGAGTTTGCGACAGGGTATTTTGCAAATGTAATAGCAGAATTATTAATGATATTTTAGATGCATCAGATGGACCATCAATGTTCATAATATTGTCTTTTAAGGGTGGAAGAGTAGTATCAACTTCTTTTTTTTCATTTATCAGTATTGTTGGTTGAACTTTCAGTGGGCAAGTCAACTTCCATAGTGGTGGTGTCTTTAATGAAGAGAAGTTCAGTAAATGCTTTTGGTATTCTGGAGTAGGTTTATTGTTCAGAGTCTGAGTAGTATTTTACTTTTTGTTTGATTGTTGTTTAGTTGAAAAGGGCGATGCAGAGCGACTGTGATTGTTAAATCTTTGTGATTTTTTTGGCATGTTGGTGATTAGCAGAAAGAGTTTTTATCTTGACCGACCATGTTGGTGAAGATATACTTTTGATATTGTTAATTTTTGATGATCATTTCTGCGTCTACTCACCTTTTCGCTTAATTTATTCTTTGGTTGTAATAGATCTTCAGCAATCTTTCTGATTATTTGAAGTTTATATAAGTGGCGATCATAAATAATGCAACAAAAAAAATAAAATCCTTTAAATTTAAATATTTCATTCAATTCTAGAGATATCCCTCCCTCTTTAATAAAATTTTATTGTTAATACCATTATTTTCGGTTTTAAATTTTTAATATAATACGCAGGTAGTACAAATTACGCGTTGCTAATATTCTCAATTCTAAGTTCACTTCTCGGCAATTTAGTTCTATTCAAATCTTCCACGTATTCACGTAAACTATTTATTGTAAATATAAAAAATTATCTCATTGTGTAACATTATAAATGTCCTTCCCTAAAGGATTAACCAATCAGAAATTCAGAAATCGCGCTATAAAAGGTCGATTATTTCCCAATTCCAAATAAACTTTCAGCTTCCTTTTCTTTTTACTACATTTAAAACAAATAATATATTGACTTTTTCGTAACTGCAAAATGAATATAGACACACGAGATTATTTAGTGGCTCTTTTTAATAGACCCAGTCCCTTATATATACCCCCTTCTTTACGCTCTTCTACAATTAATGAACAGACCGTTGCTAAATCACCTAACTATCAGTCACCAACTGTTTCTCATTCTAGCCATAGACGAAGACCGAGAAATATTTTGGCAGGAATCGAAAATATTAATGAAACAACTGGTCCAGAACGTATTCCTAGTCGACAAGCAGTCGTAGAAGATAATAAAAGCGCAGCAACGAAAAGAGATCAAAGAAGGAATGATAAGGTGATGCAAGAAAATCATGGGCGTAAAAATCAAGAGTTAGTACAGATAGAATCTAACGAAGTTGCTGCTAGCTCTGATAAAGAGGTAGATAATAGCAGAAAGAGAAAATCTGATACTGAAATCAAGGATGAAGTTGTAAGAAAAAATAAAAAATCAAAGAAAAAGTCCAAAAAGAAAAGATTTCATAGAGAGAAACGGCTAGCTCGTGTTAAAAGTGCTTGTCCAAAAGTGAGTAATTTTAATAATTATTATATTTGATGTTCATAGCTTTAATTTTAATTTTAATTTTATAATTTGCAGCTTGTTGAACTTCGCATGATTCGCGCTGAATCACAACGGATGTACTTGATTAGTCGATCTATCATTAATGAATTGTCCCAAAAATTCGTTATCTTGGGAGTAACAGGCATTGTACGATTTGTTAAGAAATCTTCTAAAAGCATCGTTTATTTTTATCGATTAACCTTAATCGAATTTTTTTTTTTTATTTTTACTAGGTTTACACAGTTATTATTTCACATGTGCCAAGCTGCACTTGTCCAGACTTCTCGATGTGCTCCTGCAAATTTTGTAAACATATTGTAAGTATAATTTCGGAGGAGGATGAATATGAGTTGTATATTTTGAAATACTAATACCAACATTTTAACATAAATATCTTTAGCTTTTTGTTTACCTTAAAGTTTTGCGCATGGAGCGAAACAGCATGTATATATATCAAAAAGCGCTTTTATCTTGTGAGCTTCGTTTAATCTTTAAGAATGCTAAGCCCGATCCGATCGTCTTTGTAAGTAAATGTGTCGTGATCACAAATTATAAAATTATTAAATTAACATATGGTTAAACACTTTATTAATAGGCTAACCGTAGAATTATGAGACGATATAAAGCGTTCTTTTCAGAAAAAGTTCTTCAAGAACGCCGGTCAAATGAAGGAAATTGCATTACCTGGTATCTAAAAATGTTCTTTTAAAAAATTATCACTTGCAGGCTATTTAACGTTCTTTAATTCAATATAATAGTTACAAACCTTTGAAAGATAAAGATCTCGATCATTTCTTGTTTGTGCAAAAAGGTTTTTTCCACAACCTTCACAAGGAATGCTACGAGCAATGGAAGGAATCAAAATGTGTTGAAAGAATTAAACAGGAAAGGTAAGCTATATAATAACATGATATTTTATTTTTATTTATTTTATTTAGTTATGATCTATCTTTTATCTAGGTTACTGTTGAATAGAAGATTTTAATAAATCAACTTTGAAAAGAAACAAGAAATAAGTAATACGTATAGATTTTATTAATCATAAAATCAATTTTAATGGGGTTTAGAAATTCTAGATTTGCTTAATATATATTTGCTTAGGTATAATTGATTGCTTTAAATCGTAAAAGAATTTACTTTTATATTAATAAATTTGTCATACTTTGTGAGCTAGTAACTTTGATCTAGATATTCAATTGAAATAAATTCAAACTTTTAGATATAAATAAATAAATAAATAAATTTAATATTTCTTTAACTTTTATGTATTTACTAAGGTTAAGATAAATTTACAATATGGAACGTCTTTATTTATCCGATATATTACTAGTATCCATTGGAATTTCATATAATTTTTAAATAAAGTCACTTGAAATATCTAAAATCCGCCGGAAATGTAAATGGAGACAAATTATTAATGGTGTATTAGATTTATTTTAAAGTAAATCTCAAAACCCACTGAAGTGGAAAATCTTTTATAAGTTCTGCATGTATCTTCGTGGGAAATGATAAAGGATTTTGCAATAAATTATAAGACACAGTAAAATTATTAGAAAAATCATAATCTTTATTTTACCAGAAATATCCTACTTTATAATTTATTCCAGATAATGAAAAGTGGAGATTTGATGCAGGTGACCAGAAAATACCATTTTTTTCAGGACTCGTTTACAAACATTGATTGTCTTAAGCCCATTTATATACACTAAAATTTCCTTTTTTTTTTTTTAGAAATAATTTTAACGAACGATTCACATCTATTATATATTTAAAGTAAATGAAAAGTTAACTTTAAAAGAGAGCTGCAATGACATCAAGGAACAAACAAGAACATTGATTGTCCATTCTTTTTTAAATCTCATGAACTTACAGATGTGTTGATAAATTATTTATATTTGAAAATTGCTATATTTCACAATGTTTTCATATATAATTATATATAAATTTATTATAGCGTATCATTTGTTTATGCGAGAAATTCGAAACAAATTCTTAATAAAGAAAAAAATAATTTAAAATAAAAATCTTTAATGCATCTTATTTAAAAAATGATTTATTCTTGTTAACTAAAAATCTGCAAGTTATTAATGTTCATTTCTTCCAAACTAGCGTATTCTTGCGAAATAGGTTTTAAGCATCTCATAAATCGCCTTGGCAAAATCCAGCTTAAACACCACAGCCCTTCAACTACATATAAACAACGCGCCTCGCTGCTATTTTATGTATAATAATGCCCAGTGCTAATACCTATTAGACAATTTTGCAAAGAATTGTTTCGTGAACGTTCTCTTTCCAGGTTACTTCAACTCTCTGTCCTTGCAAAACACTCACTGCTATATCAAATTAACTGGTTTGCCACCTCCTTCACACTCAATGACAACATGGCAACACATTCTACCTCCTACTCCGCCTCCTTTATTAGAAAAACAAAATATCAACGTCTTCTTGAAATGTTACTAACTTTTGAGATTCTCAAATTAAGACATCCTTTCATATATGATCATTCGCTCTTGTGCCTCAGATGTGATACCACTGACGAAAACTTTTATCACATATGGATGTGTCCTATTGTCAATTACGAAATGAAAAAGATAATTCAACAATCAAAAACTTATTTAAAAGATATAACTCATGCACATGATTATGAAATTGAGCAGTTGAATGTATAGTTGCTTGACACTTACAATACTTCTGAATTTTTTGCTCTTATTAGAGGAATCATTCCCGTACCCCTTTTTAATTTCTTTTTAAAGAAACTTTCATCCAAAAGTTTGGCTTTAGCTGCTTGTTCTTCCTTCATGCATCTGATCTTTGAACTTACACAAAAAGTTTGGCACGACCATTGTCAACTTGTGCACAATTTTGAAAATCTTTCAACATTACCCTTGCTTCCAAGACTGCCAATTTTGTCATATCAGGTTATGATTTATCCTCTAACCCCTCCACTCATTCTTTTAGCTCTCCTTCAATCTCTTCAATAGTAAGGATGGGATCTCATTGGTCAAATTTTTGGTGCAGTAGTGGCCTCGCCCTCTCCACTTTCTTACGTATATTTACTCGAAATATGATTTTTCTAGCTTAGGTTATAAAATGATTTTGGGAAAGTGCAGGGTCGGTCTTCTATAGTTTTAATTTTAGATTAGT